AGGGTTGCGATCCCGTTACCGGTCAGTAAAAAAGACAAAAAGGAAAAAAAAAAAAGAAAAGCAAGTGTACAATTCTGACTTAGGTCTAAGAAGACTCCATTTCAAGTGAATCTGTGGCGTAATCAATACAGTCTCTCTCTGAAACAACCAATGGGGTTTACAGCAAAGGCATTGAAAAAGGTTAAAAATATCCAAATATTTTTAACAACATCAATACATCAAAACTCAAATTCTATCATAAACCACTACGCTAGCTAGGCACAGCACTTTAGGTTGTTGCCACTCACTTGCCATTATCATCAATTGTGAATAAAAACAAGCCACTTGTATAAATACCACCATTTCAATAGCAAGTTTGATAATTTCTTCTCTTCAGGGCTGTGTGCAAGCACAAATGAAGATTGTCATATTAAATACATACACACGTAGAATGTATATACACACAACCTTTGTTTTCTTAGAAAGAGCCCCAGTAGGCATATGGGCCTCATGTAAAAGCAGAACTTACTTACACACAGCTCTGGGCAGTGTACATATTTCATCAGCTGAGTTATAGAATCCAGATCAAGCTCATGGTCATGTATCAGGATCACAGGCACACAAAGTATGTCTCATTTTACAATATGTCTTTTCTGGAAAGGAATACACAATTTAATCTTTTATTGTAAACTAAATCATATTTAAACATACAAAGGCAACCAGTGACACGACCTTGGGCAAGCTGTCTAACTTCTCTGAGCCTTGTAACCATATATCTAAAATAGAAATGATACAGTTTACCTCACAGGGTTTTTGTGGGGGTAAAATGAGATAATGCAGGTGAAAAGCACCAGGGCCATATAGTATTATTGTTGCTATTATCATTATTATCATCATTTGTTAAGGGGAAGGCCACTTCTGTAGGTGATGAATCAACTCTTGATTTACCAGGTTTTTCTATGTCAGGTTTTCTTTGGGCACAGGATGTAGTGTCTGAGGTCTGGTACTTTGAATCTAGTAAAATTAAGCAATCTTATCACTGCTATCCACAATATCCACATTTTGCTATTATTGTGTTTTAGTCAAGTGAATGTGAGTGGAATTACAGATACAGAAGAAGAAAGAATTAAAGAAGCTGCTGCTTATATAGCCCAGAGGAATATTCTTGCTAGTGAGGAAGGAATCACGACGTCTAAACAGTCCACAGCATCCAAACAGTCCATGTCATCCAAACAGTCCATGTCATCCAAACAGTCCACGGCATCCAAACGGTCCACATCCAGTCTCCAACAGGAGGAAACCTTTGAAAAGAAGTCAAGGAAAGTTGCAATTCGAGAAAAGGCAGAACAACTGTCGCTGAAAAAAACAGTAAGAAAAGACAATTATAATGTAACTTACAAAAGTGAAAGTGCAGGGCCGGTAACTCGGGAGTGTGGTGCTGATAACACCAAGGCCATGGGTTCGGATCCTATATAGGGATGGCCAGTTA